GATGTCATTCTAAACCCGAATTACATAGTATATAAGATATAAGTTTTTGCGTCAACAAACTAATAACATCAAAAGCTTAAGATTCCAAATCCTATTTGAGTTAACGTGAAGAAAAACCTGGTTAGATTGATTAACAGTTTTCCGAATGTTCACTGCACCATACGACATCGTTACGGCATTAAATAGCAATTACGGTAAAAACACCCGGCTATCTGCCTTTGAAGTGATCCGCGTTAATTGTCGGTTTTCGCTGCGCGCAAGATTCTGCTTGTACCTATGAACCCTATCATTAGCATAAGGCAACGCAACGATGTTCTTAGAAAAAGGAAGGAGGAGAAACTGTAGAAAAGTTTTCAGAGGCATTTTTACTACTTTGGAAAAACCTCGACCTATCCTGACTGAATTTTGATTGATCCCCAAAATTTTAGAGCCATTTCTCAATAAATCTATGCTGATCGAGGGTGACGTATTTCTGCAAACAGCAAGACGTCCACGACATCGTGCCATCCCGGTAATGAGAGCTGATGCGAGAACAGCTGATCGAATCACATTCAAAGAATGGCTCAGAGAAGTGGCCAACCTTAAGAAAGGTCTGTTTGCATCTGTCTAAGTTCCATCTTCTGCCTGGTCACTATGGTCACATTCCCCCCATCAATCTTGTAGACCGCAGGGAGTGTGTAATGACATAGATGTGTCAACTCTCTCCACTACATCTAATGTTTGCCTCCGCAAAAGAAATGATGGATCACCTTATCCCTCACACGACGATTCGTTTGCAAATACAGAGTGCTCTCATCGATAAGTGATCACACTCATATGAATGTCAAGATGTCGAGGGTTTTGTGCTAGTTTTCGAAAGATCCATTCATTAAATCTATAGCGTAGCCGGGAAACTCCAATTTCAACCAAAGATATGTTAACCATAAAACAAAATTGTAATGTTTCGAAGTGATGGGAAAGTTTCAAGAGGTGATGTTAGAGGTCTGTGGGCTTATAATACCGGCCATTACCCATTTAGTACTCAGAGTTTGTATTTTACAATAGGCAGATTTGTGCTGGAAAGATAATCTATGCTTACGAGTTTTTTTTACTAAAGAAAGACCGTAAACTTTATTGCACCCTGTAAGGTCATAATGATAAGACAATTATTTTGTCACAAAGTACATCATTTGTCAATATGACAATTTTTCAGCAATCAAAATTAACTTTCGATCAACAGAAGTGGTTCGACCAGTGCTGCAATATCTTTACGCAACACAAGCTGATCCACTAGCACCTGAACTGAAATATCCGGTCATTCTTCACGCAAACGTTTTTCGTTCACCGCGAAGTGTTGAGGTAGTTTTTATTGGATTTAATGTTATGTGTATATGTTTTCAAATGTGTCGTAATGACTAATGTTTCCTCCAGAATATCGTGGATCCATCATCATTCGTCGATCGGGCACGACGGCTTTTTCCAGATGCGACATTGTCATTGGGATGGACAAAACAGTCGAATTTTTCAATGCTTAGTCCGAAGCATAAAGTGTTGGTTTTTTTCTTGAGGAAATGCGAATTTCACGTTTCTTAAGCAAAATCTACATCGTTAAGACTCACGTGGAGGCAGCTTTTCCACATTCTTGAGTACATCGCTCGCCTAGAGCAGCCTGTTATGCTATGCGTTCGACTTTCAGTAGTAAGTGCATGTTACTACGTTCAACGAGTCGTTTTCACCTCATAAAGATTTTTCCCGTTGAAATTTTTCGATCCACAAATTAAAGCGGTAGATATTCTAGGCAGCCAACTCGAAGGAACAACTTCTTTGGTTGTTAGGGATGGACAAAGCAATCTCTTTACTTATATGGAGCGATTCTGATGATGAGGTAGTCTTTCTCTGTTCTTATAATCAAATAAAAATTCATAAGAGAATTTTAGGCCATTGATTGGGCTTCTGTGGCAGAAATTCGTCGAATAGCCACAAAAAATCGAGTGCTCTACGATTTAGAGCCGCATCATAGAGAGATTATTCAGCGAATACCGAATAATCCTAGTGAAGTGCAGGTTTGTATGATTTTTTTCTTTCTTTTCCAAGAAGTAGATCCTGCAGTCAAATCAAGGCACTAGGGGAGAAAAAAGTGTTTTTTTTTCTACCAAACTCCCAGTGCTGGAGAATTTTAACGTTATTGAATAGTCTCCATTTTTTTCATCGTTTATCTTAATATACTGAATAATCTCCAATTGTATATAGGCAACAGCATTCTCTACTTAAGGTTTTCGTAATTAGAACTGTTATGCCAGTTGACACTCATTTAGTAATATTTCACTGATTTTGAGGTCTACATACATTAATAATTTTAAAGGGGAAGGATACTTAACTCAGCAAATACTTAAATTATCAAAGTTTATGCCAACTCGAAATTATCTCTTCAAGTGGTGTGATTGTAATGCTTTTCAAAAGATTTAATATTCGATTCATTTTACATCAAAAGGCATGAATTCAATAACCCCGAAAAACAAGATATTTGAGGCTTCTACTCAGGGGGAGAACATAGTTCTTGTGCTGACTGACTTATTTTAGGTGGTATGGGATCATCGCAGATTCGCTTACGATCTCTTACTTGAGTAAAGCAGTTTAAC